TCGAAGGCTTGTTCTGTTTCGGGCTTTGTTTGGTAGGTGATTTGGTTTATAGATCGGTGTTTAACCATATACTCGAAGCTCAGAAATAGAAAAATAAACACTCTTTATAATTTTGTTTAATATTTTTTTTTTGATTTTTTCCTGAAAGAAATAAAATAAAAATTAATTGCATCTCCCCAGCAACGACGCCAAATTTGACGTGCACTTGTCGTGAGGTGCACTCAAAATAATTTATCAATACAACACTAATATGTAGTATAGTGAAGTAAGGTTCGTATCCACATGGAAAGGAATACGTTTCTTTTATATAAGTAGTATCAAGGGGGGTTTAGATTTGTTTGATTTAAAAATACTAAGATGAACAACCTATATGAGTTTGATTAATATATGTGGTGGCTTGGTTTTGCTTTTATCCGCTTAATGAAATGTTCGTCGATCCCGGTTATATCTTTAACTATCTTCCTCTCGAATACTCAATCGAGGAGTATATCCAGTTCATCGAGGGTAGTTATTAATAACGAGATGCGTTCATTAATAAAACTTACTATCGAGTCAATATAGAACAAACGCCGTATATTAACTTGATAGTAGCAATGAACTTAAGATGAAAACGATTGAGATTGATAACCTCAACACAAGCGGTTTATTGGTTTAATCAATATAATTAATTCCCCTTGGCATATTAACCATGAGATGCATGCGTTAATAATCCAAGTTTACTACTGTTGAAAGAACCGGATTAATAACAAGCGTATTAACCGATTGATTCTAGTAATAATTAATATGAGAAACAAAACTAGTTGATACTTTAAGTAATGTTTAAAATATTAACATGAAATATGAATAGGAATTAATTAATACTCAAGGAAGAATATTAAAGAATATGAATCCTACTATGATTAATATCAAGATGTTAACTAATTGTCATCTTAGTAACACTCCCCAATATTAACATAAAGGAAGAAATAACTATTACTATAAACAATGTCAAAATGTTAACTAATTGTCATCTTAGTAACACTCCCCAACTTTGATATAGAAATAGTATTTTAAAGGAAGAATTAATATTCAAGGAAGAAGATTAAAGAAAATAACTCACAACTTACAAATTCATTAAGCTTCAAAGTAGCAAAACCAAGATGGAAGAGTTTAGCTCCTCATTTGGAGACTAAACATGATGAAAAAGATAAAGAAAGAATTATTCTATACTGAGCTTAGATGTACAAAGGAATTGGATGCTCATTTGTGAAGAAAGGGGTGTATTTATAGGCTTTTGGGATGGGATTCAGATACTCGATCGGGTATATACATGGTACCCGATCGAGTATGTGTGTAATACCAGATTCGAGGTATACTCGATCGGTTTTAGGCTATTTTCCAAAGGTATACCCGATCGGGTATATGTTTATACTCGGTCGAGTATGCGTAGAAAGTGATATTCGAGCCATACTCGACCGATTTTACGTTTAAACTCAAAGGCATAACCGATCGGGTATGTCGGTCTACCCGATCGGGTATAGACACTTAATCGTGGCCGAAATCTTCCCGGCATGTTCCCTTGTCTTCGGATCTGATCCGATTTGAAGTTTCAACCTAATACCCGATCGAGTATAGGTAATACTCGACCGAGTATAGACCAAAATTTCAGGATCCTTCTTTCTTTTTGATTTTTGCACCTTCCTTCCACTTTTGTGGTACACCAATTGTCCTTTGAGTGATCAATACATGTTTGAGCTCAGAATATACCTAATCTAAACTATTTACAAGAATTTAAAAAACTAAACTATTACACCAAAAGTGTGTAATTTCAAAAGTAAAGATCAAGCAAAACTAATTAAAAACACAAACATACATATGGAAATTACAAACGTATCAGCCGTATAAAAATGTCCCTACAGATTAGTAAGTAGAAGAGAATAATAACAGTTATCAATCGCAACAAAGAGAGACACATGATTTTTTCCCCCTTTTGTCATCAAACAAAAGGAAACAGGAAGAAACGAAATAGTGCCTAAAACAGTGAAGTGTAAGAGTGAGCAAAAAAGTAACAATGTAAAGTGATATCCCCCCTAAACAATGTTTAATTAATAATTATTCTTCATCGGATGAGGAAATGATATTCCTTCACACAGTAACCGCAGATTCTTCAAGCTTTCCAAATTCCTCACCCTTAGCTTGAATGTCTGGAAATCATTTCGGATAGTGCTGCGGGACTCAACCAGATGGTCCACTCGCCCTGCCAAGCCAGCAATAGACTCTCAAAGAGATTCAAATTTTCAAAGTAAGGTATGCTCCATTAAATAGATTTGGTCCTTTGCCAGAGAGACAGTTTGCATAGGATCATTGGGCACATCAATAACGTGTTTAGGTTTAGGCTTAAAGGGTTTTTGTTCAGAGGATGTAGGAACAGATTCTTTTGGGACTAGTTTTGAATTGTGGATAACAATCCCTAAGTTGGTTAGACATCTAATGTCCATAACTTTTCTTGCACTTTGAGAGGGGAGATCAGTAAGAGGAGTTCATTTTTTCTGGAAGATAAGAGTGAGAAGAGTGTGAAGCTTAAGTGGGCTAACAGAAGACAAGGAAGATTGATAGCGACTTTATTGGCTAGGTGGTACATATATGCTAATTCATTCCGAGATGGTGACTGACGACCCTCAAGCCTAGGTACTAGATTGTGGTGAACAAAGTAGAACACGAGTTTGTGTACTGGGGACAAACTTCCAACATGTAGTGATGAACCAGTAATAGTAGGATCGAAATATTGCAGAGCTACAGTCTGAGAAACTCGGGTCAGTGGTCAGTCCTTCTTGTCATAGGGACACTCACCAGAACTAAGGACATCAAGGAGTACCCCTAAGTCATTAATATCCAACATGATTTTTGTTCCTTGGACTCGAGAGGTCAACACACTATTTTTGATAATAAAATTAGCCAGAAATTCTAAAACACGCTCAGGATAAACAGTGCAACAACTTTTAGAATCAAACATGCCCCTAAGCAGCGCCACGAAAAGTTCAACCATGCGATGTTAATTAGTGGGTTTAAAATAAACGAAGTGACAAATGTGTTTATGTGAAGAGCACAGTATACAACTATGTCATTTTGTTTTTATACGAATATGATATACTCATCATTGGTAGCAATAATCTAATGATTAATTCTACCAAAAATATGTTACATTCTAAATTTGACATGAAGGATATGTGGGTGACCGATTCAATCCTTGGATTAAAATAATTAGGGGACACGACGGTCTTGTGCGAAGCCAATTCCACTATGTTGAAAAAATCCTTATGAAGTTTAATAAGGATGGATATCAGAGGCAATGCCATCATAAGATAAAACGTACATATGTCCAACAATCTTGGAGAGCATTTCTCAAGTATAATACACCAGGATTATTGGAAGCTTAATGTATCTAATGCGTTGTATCAAGCCTGATATTGCCTTTGTGGTTACCAAGCTAAGTAGATATACTAGTAACCCCGATGATGTACACTGGAAGACAATAGTAAGAGGTTTGATATATATATATATATATATATATATATATATATATATATATATATATATATATATATATATATATATATATATATATATATATATATATATATATATATACGGAGAACCCAAAACCTTGGACTGTATTATACAAGATATCCAACTGTATTTGAAGACCATAACGACGCTAGTTGGATATCTTCAAAACATACGATAATAGCTAGATCCACGATGGAATATGAGCCAATAGCCTTGGATAAGTCACTGAAGAGGCTGAATGGGAACACCGCTTCCTTGAGGATATTTCAAGTTGGAAAAGTCTGTCCCTCCAGTATGCATACATTGCAATTGGCAAGCGGCAATCAGAAGGATACATAACAACATGTATAATGGTAAGTATAGACATTATGGAAAAAACAAGAACGTTACGGGAAGAAACAAAAATTAAATTCTTTATTTTTCCGAATAAACACATTACTTAGCACTTTCGGATCTCTCGGATCAGCGAAGTCATCACTATTCATATTTATATTTGATTTTCCGAATTCGAATATATTCATACCATATCGAATCATGAATAAAAAAATAAAATTATTTAATTCATATACATCCATACTCTAAACGTCTTCATCTATTATAAAAGGGAAAAATAATAAAAATACTCTAAACATTGAAGGAGTGTGAGGTAAATACCCAAACTTGCTTATGTAATTTAAACATCCCAAACATTATATAAAAAGTTATTTTTGCACTATTCCCGCGTATTATTTCTTTCAAAAATGTAAAGTTATGGGATTAATTGCATAATTTCAAATAACAAATTAAAAGTGTTGCAATTACATAGATTGGCGGGTAGCATCATTTATTTCACAATGGAAGTTTAGAATGTTAAGTGTGTTTTCATGAATTCTAAAAACATTTAAATCATGCAATTAACACCATAAATTTACATTTTTGAAAGAAATACTACGATGGGACGTCCAAAAAAGAAACACTTCCAAAAAAGGAAAGTGGGAACCTTCTAATGGGACGGAGAGAGTAACACTTTACTATGATATTAAAATAATTTTTTATTTAAAGTTTGAAGTATTCAGATTATATATTCATTTTTGAAATGTTCATAAGTTTGAGTTATTTTATTTACTTTTCTCCTTATAAAACGCTTTGGCTTGCTTCATAATTTTTTGGGTAATTTGAGTTTGCACCCCATATTATTGTCCAAATTGGACTTTGCATCCAATTTTTAAAAATTTTTGTTTTTGCACCCTATCCCCATATGAAAAGACAAAAATGCCCTCAATCAGGAATATGTTGAAGGTAAACAGAATTGTTAATGAAGGGACATTTTAGTCTTTTCATTCGGGGTTGAGGTGAAAAAACAAAGATTTTTAAAAACGAAGTGCTAGGTCTAATTTAGACAACAATATGAGGTGCAAATTCAAATTAACCATATTTTTTTTTGTACACCTGTCCGGATAAAACTAGAGTTGTTTCATCCATCATCAAACGTCCTCCCAGGCTCTCCCAATCTAGGGTTTCGACAACTCATACTACACTTTTGCTTTCTCTCCCTCTCTCACGCTCAACAAAGTATGGCTGAAGAGGGGCAGCATGTATCGGAAGCAGGATCGAACAAGAGGAAGTACGATGAGCCGACCTCCTCCCCTTCTCCGGTGTCACGCAGGCCTACTGGGTTTTCCGGGCCGATATCTTCATCGTCTCCGCCCGATCGTTTAGCTTCCACGGGCCCACCCCCTTCGGCGTACAACAGCGTACCTCCTCCGATGGACGACTTCCAGCTAGCAAAGCAGAGGGCTCAGGAGATCGCTGCTCGACTGCTCATCAACACAGATCCAAAAAAGCCAAGGGTTGACAACGGTGGTGCCGCTGGTCCGTATGAAACAAGAGAGCGTAAGGGTTTATGTCTCGTTCATTATAGGATTGAATATTCCTTGAATTGATGGCTTTCATACCTCATCATCCATTTTTTTTCACAAGTTAATGTTGTTCGTATCACCCCCTTTGACATCGATATGAATCATGTTCATTGCAGCCCAGAAGCAAACGGGGTCTACTTTTACTTCTGGAAGTGGTTCATATGGGTACCCTGGTCCAAGCAAGAAAATAGAGATACCGAATGGAAGGGTTGGTGTGATCATAGGAAAGAGTGGTGAAACAATTAAGTATCTTCAACTCCAATCTGGAGCAAAGATACAGGTGACTAGAGACATGGATGCTGACCCTAATTCTCAAACTAGAGCGGTTGAACTAATGGGCACTCCAGAGCAGGTAGCAAAGGCTGAACAGCTGATTCAAGATGTTCTTTCTGAGGTAGAATTTCCTACCCTAATATTCCTATCTATATTTTTTGTTGGAGTTACTACTCCCTAGTAATGACTCCCTTAGGGATTAGGATGTTTTCTTTCGGACTGAAATTTGCTGGTCTGATTTGGTCTGAATTTGCTGGTAAATGTTTGGTCTGGGACGGAAAACGGTCCAAAAGAAAACATCTTTAGTTCTTGAGATGTGCCATACATTTTTTGCTGTTTCATTTCACTTTGTGTGTGTATGGTGAGGTATTGTTACTAATATAATGTTACCTAATAGGCTGATTCAGGTGGGTCTGGCATTGTTTCACGAAGGCTAACTGGACAGCAGAGTGGAGCTGAGCAATACGTGATGCAAGTTCCTAACAGCAAGGTATGTGCCATTAAATTGGTTAATTTTTTGCTGAAATACTTCAATTCCTTTTCTACTATCACCTAGCATATGTATAGGTCGGCCTTGTTATTGGAAAAGGTGGAGAAACCATTAAAAACATGCAAGCAACAACAGGTGCCCGTATTCAGGTACATCTGTATTTGTGTGCTCATTCTTTATTCTTCATTATTGTAAGGGTGTTCGGAGTTGATTCTACGTCCCCTTTTTATGAGTCGTTTTAAAAGGAAGTCAGAATCTTTTTCTAGATGATAAATTGTTTTTTAAAAAACCTTTATAATTTATTCTGCTTGTATGCAATTGAGAAATTGTCTAGTGTTCAGATAAGATTCTGTTCCAGCCTGCGTTTAAGAATAATGTCAAATAATTGTATCTAAAAAAATGATATTTTTATATCAAATCTTAAAAATTGAAAGTTGTAGATTTGATAGACTTTTTTCAAATTCATATTCTGTTAAACATGTGAAATGTTTGAACAAGTGAAACATAAGGATAGATTCCACTTGAACAAAATTAATTCCATACAAGCACACACATTTTTTTAAAGGTACAAGCACACACATTTATGTTTATGTTTAAATTTATGTTAATATTCTCATATTTACACTCAATATAATTACAATTAGAATTATAAATATGTTTATATTTATGCTTATATTTGGTAATTGTTATTATTCGAAATACCATACAAGAATTAGTCTTTGAGAAGCTTGGTCGCTCCTAATTTCTCCGAAACTGATTATTAGGATCTGTATCTAAACACTCTAAATTTTGGTTCTACACCCTGAAGTAGCTAAAGTAGTTTGAAAAGCATATCCAACAAGGCAGCAACACCCTTAGTTGCTGCATCCAAAATTTTAGTTTTTTAATCTCAGTAACTTCTTCGTAGGTGATACCCTTGCACTTGCCACCCGGTGACACTTCAACCGAGAGGACAGTACAGATTGATGGAACAAGTGATCAGATTGAGCATGCTAAACAGCTTGTCAATGAGGTCATTAGTGAGGTATACTGGTTGTGCATAGTTGTTCGAATTTATTATTTATATTTGCTTGAAATGTGAACCAAATACTGTGCCTACTTTGTGTGCTCAATTCAAGCTCCTATCTTCTAATTGCATGTGTCGTAACCAAGTTTACACAAGTGTGTTATCTCACTGTAATACCTATTGTGTGACTCTAAAAAGCATTCCTTAGTCACCCCTGTGGTCTTTAAATGTCATCTTTGGAGTCTTCTATCTCATAATTATTGATCTTTCTACTACAATGTAGTATTATCATCAATAGAATTTAGTAGAATAACTACTTCTAACTTTTATGCCATTACCTGCATTTGACAATTAAATAATATTTTTCTGACTACATCAAACCCATTGAATAATTCAATATTAGGGTTATATGCATATATTGCTCCATTCATCTTTGAATGTACAGCCAGGTCAATTGATATTCTGTAGTTCGTGCCGAATGACCCTGGATGAAGGTAATGTGGCTTTGTACAGTACCCTTAGTTGTAAACTAGGAACTTGCTTAATAAAATTAGTGATGAGTTATTTCAGAGTTTGGAAATTGGTTAGGACTGCTATCACTCGAGTTAAATTTCCCAACCTTTTATTGATACTCTAACTTTTAGTGTCTAGAGGTGTCAATACTATTTTGAGTTGTTGGATATTGCATTGAAATTCAGATGTCTTATTTCATGTGAGGCAGGTTCCACCAAGCCCGTGACTGAGGTATGAAGGCAGTTTATAAGCTTCCCTATTAGAGTTTGACCTTATCAGTTATAAAGTTATCCCTGCCTGAGACATGACTCATTTTATTTACGAGAGGAGTAGATTCATTTTCTCACATGTTGCAGTAATCAATGCCTGCTTAACAATAAAACTAGGATTTATTTTTCCAATTAGGTTCAAGCTTATAGAGTGTATTGCATAAGTTGCAGCCATGGTGATCTCAGAATCATGGTTGGCAAGAGTGAGGACAGCTTGGGTATTTTTGAGTTATTTTTACCTCCGCTAATTGAATAAAATGAGGAACACAAATCTCTTCAAAAAAGCCACTACGAATTTGTATGGAGTATTTAAAGCCCTTATTAACAGTTCAACCATGCTCCCGTTGTATTCATCTAGAGAGGGTGATCTGAGAGGCCTTGAGTGTAAAAGTTGTAAAAGATACTGGACCATCTTAGTATTGTGACACCCTTTTATTGCCTCATTCATTTTCACATTTGAATGACTTATTTTGTCTATCAGACTGTTCTTTTAGTGCAGGAGTATTTTTGTTTATATTTTATCTGTTCATGAAGAGTTTTCACTTGAAAGTTTTCGACATAAGATGTGGGTAGTTAGTTGTGCTGAGGGAGCCTCAGGACTATACTCATGTTCATTTAGTTTAAAATGCAAGGAAGGATTTGTGTTCATGCAAAGTCCAATATAGAAATGTATCTATATATTTGAACTTGTATAGTTTTTTTTTGCTCTTTGCTTTTGCGCTCATAACTTGAATTAGGGTGAGGATGGGCCTCTGCAGGAGTTTTTGTCCCAATCAATCAGTACGGTATGTTGGTGTCTAAGCTCCCCCCTAATAAAACTGTGTTCTATATGATAAATAGCTTCATCTGTGTTGATTGTTGCATTTCTATGCTGCTGGTTTCTGTATTTATTTATTTAATTATGCATCTGATCATAATTATCTCTGATGTCTATAGCAAATGTGTTATGGGATAGCTTTTTTTGGCTCATTTTAGGCGATTTTGTGCAGAATCGTGTGAGAAACCAACCATCAGGTGGGACATATCCTCCACAACAAGGATATCAAGCACGGCCTCCTTCAAACTGGGCCCCACCCAGTGGACAAATGCAGCAACCTGGCTATGGTTATATGCAGCCTGGAACGTATCCTGGCCATCCACCCCAATATAACATGCCCCAACCCCCCTATCCTGGTTACCCCCCTCAACCGTCATCTGCAGGATATGGCCCTACTTGGGATCAATCAAATTCAAATCTGCAGACAGGTGGTTATGATTACTACAGCCAGGTTCCACCTGCGCAGCAACTGCAAGCATCAGGAGGATCCGGTGCCCCTCCTATGGATAACAGCGCGCTTGGCTACAGCCAACAGCAATCTTCTGGCTATAATCATTACAATCAAGGACAGACTTATTCCCAAGATGGGTACAGTGGGTATCCTGCGCCTCATTCTGGGGGTTATGCAGGAGGTCAGACAAATGCTGTCTCTGGATATGATCAGCAGCAGCAAGGGTATCACCGCAATTCCACCAACCACGCACAGGAAACCCAAACTTCTTACAGTGGAACACAGGGTGATGGAAGCCAAGCACCCCCTCCAGCCAATCCTTCAACGGCTGCTGTGAACCAACAACATGGTTACCAAACTAATAACCAGAACCCTAGCCCTAATGCCAATTACCCACAGCCAGGTTATGCACCTGCACCCACGTCTCAAGGTGTTGGGTATGGAATGCACCAACTTGCTCATGGAACAAATTATGGTCAACCCCCGTCTCAAAAGCCCTTGACCAGCCAACCAGCTTATGGTCAGCTGCAACAGTCACCCCAGGTATACTCTCAGCCCTCATCATCTGCTTTACCTGGATATGGTCCCGTGCAAACTCAAACTGGTTATGGACCCCCGCTCTCATATGGTGCCCCCCCACCTATGAGTCAATCTGGAGTGCCTTATAATGGCACTTACGGTGGTGGTGGTGCATATTTACAGCCGCCTTCTGCAGCATACTCTTCTGATGCAACCACTGGTGCTCCATCCCAGCCAGCTGGGTTGGAAAAAACGTCTCCACAGAGTTGATTTTCTTAATTGGATGCATGGCATTGTGAAGTTTTCATATGTTTAGAATCTTGCTGTTTTGGTAGTCATCTTAATATATATGCCTATGCCCTTTGTCACCGTTTTTGTATCTGTCACTTTCAGTTTATTGCATAATTTGATGTTTATTATTATGGATTAATAATTGGTGGGGGTACTGACTGCACTAATCCTATGTTTGTTCATGAGATTTATTGTGCGCTCTCGGATGTTCAACTTTATTATTTGCATGGTTATAACTCTGAAGGTTACTCTTCCTAATGCCTGCTAATAAAGTTGCCTTGGAAATATGGCATGTTTTGCGTTGTTGAACAACTTGATTTTTTATGTTATGTTTCATTGAAAGAGATTGTTGATTATACCACTCAAATGGTATGAATAAATGAGGATAGGGTGACAACTGACAGTCTAGAGGACTATGCGTGGTATAATCAACAATCTCTTTCAATGAAACATAACATAAAGTCTGTCTGTGGTAAATGTATAGTTTTTTTTGTGTGATTTACATTTGTCTAGGTTTGATTTAGTCTGTTTAAGTTGATTTGATTTAGGACTAAAACAAGCTCAAATAGAAACATGTTTAAATAAACTAGAGTAGATTAAAATTTACCAGGTTGGCCCTGTTTAGATGTCCAGTTTAGATTTCCACAATTGCAAAATACAAATAGATTAAACATCTCTATTAAACTAGTTTAGACTAAATTTAATAGATTACTCCCTCCGGTCCTTAATGAAGTTTACACTTTCACTTCACACATATTAAGGAAATAAATTTGACTTTACTGTAGAGTACACTGTTTGACATTGTGTGGCACTGTTTGACACTGTTTGCTGTAGATTTGTTTGCCAAATAAGTCAAATAAAGAAGTGTAAAGTTTAATATGGGATGACCAAAAAAAGAAAGTGTAAAGTTAATTAAGGACCGGAGGGAGTATATCATATTAGAAAATTTCAAATATGATATAATATAATTTAATGTGTGTGACTGTGGTTTGACATAATTATTAATCAAGTGGTTGAAAAAAGTAAAAGTTTTGTTTGGTATTTGAATGTAATAAAAGAAAATGTTATAGATTTGGTATGTTCATTTCGATTTTGATCAAAAATCAAAGTAGAAAGTTCGGTTTTGGTTTGGGTTCGGTTTTTCATGTCCAAATTTGAAACTATGGTTAATTGATTGGTTTGTTTTGGTTTGATTTCGCTTCAGTTTTTTTTTTCTAAAAAAATTCATTTGATTTAAAATTATATGAAAATTAGGGAGATCAAACATATTACATAAAAAATGCAAGGATACTAGAAGTCGGGTCCAGGTCAGAACATAGAGTTCCAGAATCCAGACCCGAACCCGCTAAGTTAAATAATTAATAATGGACCCGGACCCGACTCGTTTATCCGGTGGGTCTGAAAATTTGGACCCGGACCCAGACCCAGACCCAACAGGTCTCAGAATCGGGTCGGGTAGACTCGCCCGCCAAGTATGATACACACATCATTATAAACTTTGTGAAAATAGCAAGACATGATGCGAAATATACAACAAAGTGTACAAATTTAAAAGCAAAATATATATTCACTTTTCAAAAAGAAAAAAAAAATAAGGTCTCATAGAAAATTAGTACTTTTATCTAATAAAGTATCGGTTCTTGTTAGGGATGTTCCGGTTCGGGCCCGGCCGGGTTTCGGTTCAGGAAGGGGAGACCCGGAACCGGCCCGAGTAACCCCCGGGTCCGGGCCGGGCCGGGCCTCGATTCTTTTTTTTTTTGTTTTTTTGGCTTTTCCTAGTTAACCCCCAACCCTCCCCCTCACCCCAAACCAACCTTAACCACCTCAAATGGTCAAAAATACCCAGCCCAATCCAAAAACTTAAAAAAAATAAAAAAAAAAAATTGGCCCAGCCCGGGCCCGAACCGGCCGGGCCCGAACCGGCCGGGCCGGTTCACCTTTTGAAGGGCCCGAGCCTGAACCGACATCCCACCGGGTTGGGTGGCCCGAACCGGCCAACCAACCGGTTCACCGGGCAGGTCCGGGCCCGCACAGTAGCGGATCGGTCCGGTTCCGGGCCGGTTGGCCCGACCCGAGTCCACCCCTAGTTCTTGTATAGGCATATAGCTCCACACTTTGCGCCGCTTTCTCTCGCACAAAAAAATCGTAGAATAAACTAGAAATCAAGTCATAAAAAGGTTTCTTGGACTACTAAGAGTATAAAATCATATGTAGTATTATACTATCTCCGTTCTTAAATAAGTGTAACATGTGAAATTTTACACTATTCACATATTCTACTTTGACTACATTTTATTTATTGATGTATTAATATATATTTTTGAAAAGTATATTATTAAATTTGTCTCATTGTATATTTTCAAAAACTATTTTTTTAAAATTGTTTACTAATAGAGAATTATATATATTAATGGTCAAAGTTGTGTCTCGGCAAGTGTGAAATGTTAACTGTTGCACTTATTTAAGAACGGAGAAAGTATATGATAATGATATAATAATATTAATAATAATAGTAATAAATATTAGTTTTAGGGTATCTTACTATCTTGATCAGTATCACTTATATACTCCGTAGTATTTATGTATTAATGTGTTTATTTTTATTGAATAATCAGAAATTCACAACTAATAACTTTATGTATTATTATGTATATATGTATATTAGTTTCTATTTTATTTAAAGTGTTATAACTAATCACTTTATGTTTGAGTGTATGTGTATATAGATGAGAAGTTTTAAACGGGTTCGGGTCCTTAACGGGTCGGAATCATATGTACCATACCCGACCCATTTATATAAAATACTAACGGGTCCGGATCCGGATCCGGATAAACGGATTAAAATATAGACCTGTACCCATTAAAAACAACTGGATCTGGGCCTAGACCCGAGCCATTGACAGGCCTAACTAGAACAAATAAAATTTCAAGAGAGAAGAAATAAATATGTCTTGATTTAACAGATTTTTCCATTTTTTGGAACAAAAGTTTATATTTTCTTAATTTACATTTTTTGTGAGTAGTTTGAAAAAAGTCCATGAATATTTACGTTCTGCTCGCTCTATCACTTAAGAATCTGCAAACTTTTCTTTTTGGATTGTCTTATTAATTTTGTCACTTTTTTTAGGTAAAGAATTTGCGGTTCAAGTTAATTGCCCCTCCTTTACACAAATCTCAATCATACGATCTTTATTTTATTAATTTTAGTGTCGGTTAAACTTAGCAAAGTTTAAAATGATGGAAGGAGTATATGATATGATTGGGATGAATAGTTATAACTTCTTTCAATATAAAAACTACAACAACATCATCGAAGTCTTAATCCCCAAAGATATTGGGGTCGGCTAACATTAATCGATACATGATATCACAACCAAAAGGAAACGAAAGAAAATAAAGATAAAAAAGATAAGCTATTATAAAAAGATAATATAAAAAGAGATGAATGTACATAAAAATGATAAAATAAAAAGGCTACAAATAATGCTTATATATATAAGGATAAAAAACAAGGAAAAAAGATGAAGGAAAAAGATTATACGAGATCACTCCTTCACGCGAATACCCACCCTCCACTTATTTCTCTCCAAAGTCATGCCCTCATCCAACCTCAGAAGAAGCATATCACTTCGAACTCCCCTAACCCACATCTAATTGGGTCTTCCTCTCCCTCTCTTCCCTGGCTCTTCTCCACACATCTCAACTCGTTTGACAAGTGCATTACTCGGTCTTCTACGCACATGACCAAACCACCGTAGGCGCGACTCCCGCATCTTGTCTTCAATAGGTGCTACTCCCACCCTTTTTTGGAGACTTTGTAATGTCTCCAAATAATTAAAAGAAAAGTACTAGGAGGTGTGCCTCGTCAAGAAGACTTCTAGACCATCTTTATTTTTTTTTGTTTTCAGCCACACCGTCGACAGAATGTCCATCAGAAAAGTGATATTAGCGAATTCGTTTTTTAAAAAATAATTCAAATAGAGCTGAAAATCCAAAGCGTTCGACTTCATGCCCCATCTGTGCTAACAGAATTGAAACACATGTCCCACTTTTTAAAAAAAGAAACATGTGCCCCTATGAAAATGACGCAAACCACATGTACATTTTCTGTACTTTTCCCAAAGAGAAATCATGACACTTATTTTGGGACAACCCAAAAAGGAAAATAAGACATGTAAAATGAGACAAAGAGAGTACTAGTAAACGTTAAAGTGTAAACCTTTTTGGGTACACCTTTGACGCACTTTATCTGTCTACATAGACATAGTTGTTTATATATAGATAATTCATATTGAAATACAAATGTTGTCTATGTATAGACATTTTTATCTTTATAAATAAACAAGATGTGTCAAAGATGTACACAAAAAGGTGTGCATCAAACATTTTTTACAAATTAAACAACTCTAGTGTGTGGTATGCATTAACAAATCATACCAAGAGGTTGTTTACTTTTTTATTCATTAGGTCATTTATGGATTAAGTTGTCTGTCTATATTAAGATGTCTGTCTGGATTAAGTGATACTGAGATAACAAGCTGTTTACTTTGTATGCTGAATGAGCGAACTGAATTCTGTTAATTGACCGTTTTACCCATCTGTCTGGAAGAAGCGTTGAATCCCAAAAAAATAATTATATTATGAACCTTTATTTAAAATTAGGAACCTTTAATTTTCTTTCATCAATATTAATTTCAACACTGCAGCAGATAAAAGAATATTGGAATTTTTGGAAATTCATAGCAAAGCACATCATTTCGAAAACTGCTAGAAAATTCAATTTGTACAAAAAAGGCTTCCAACATTTATGTGCAGCTAGTGGAAAATTTATTGTCATTTGCGGATATGGGCAGACCTTGCTAGGAGTGAGGGCAGGTGGCGTGCAAAGGGTTGATGTTGGTTAATGGAGAAGCTCATGATCGGCAATTCGTGGGTCGCGATTCTAAATGATGGTCGGCGTTCAAATGTAAGTCTGGCGGAAGGATCAGAAAGGTTAAAAGAGGAACACTTGCGTCTGATTGTGAAGGAGTTGAGCGATTCAGTCGTTATTTGTCTGAGCGAATAAGTCCTGCTGAAAAATAAGTCCCAAATAAACAGTCCTTATAGCTGAGTCATTAAGTTCATCATTTCATTAATATCATTAAGTCAAAAGTAAACAACCCCCAACTCTAGTATGGGTTAGGCCCCATCGATCTATCTGAGAAGCCTGATGAATAACATCCCAACTTTCAAAATTGAGGATATTCCTAGCAAGCAAATGTGCCATCGATTTGTCTTCCCGATAA